TTGTGATGCACTCGAGCAAACTGTCAGCCGACTCAGCTTGCACTTCTAAGTAAAAACGATCCTGGGCTCAAATTTGTTGCAAAAGGCACAATCTTATTAGAAGTCAAGTGAAGTCCAGTAAAGCAAAGCCAGAACTGAAATTTGCACACCAATTCCCCAAGTGAAAACTTTTCCCTTTGCTGCTACCCCCCCCCCCCTCTGATCAATCTCCAAGAAGATGTTTTTGAAATTGAGCTGAGGTGGCGCAGCGGTTAGTGCAGCACTGCAGGCCACTTTAGCTGACTGTGTTCAGCAGGTCAGCGGTTCAAATCTCACCGGCTCAAGGTTGACTCAGTCTTCCATCCTTCCGGGGTAGGTAAAATGAGGACCCAGATTGTTGGGGGCAATGTAAATATATATATATATATATACATTGCTTACTGGTGTACACCCCTTAGAGAGTGCTTGCACTTAAAGCGGTATATAAGTCTCATAAATAAATAAACGGCCACTCTGACTGCAGGCTGGCTCTCAACTTCTCATCTTGAAGCAACCCTGATGGCACCGTCACTTTCCTAACTGTCATTTTCCCTCCCCCCCCAAGCACTCCCCTCCCTCTTCCCCCTCTCCCCTCCTGGGGTTCATGGCAGACTGGTACCGAACGGCGGGGCGCGAGGTGGCAGTTCTGACACAAACCTGGAGAGAGAATGCATAGAATGGCACCGCACATTTTATCAGCATCCTTCGTCCTGTTGCCTTCAGTAGATTCTCCCAGGTTAAAAGCTCATCCTAGGACTGAGAATGCTTCACCAGCTTTGGCACAATGTTACAGGACATTGCTTTACAGAATAGAGTTGGAAGGGGCCTTGGAGGTCTTCTAGTCCAGCCCCTGCTCAAGCAGGAGAACTTATACCATTTCAGACAAGCAACTGTCTAGTCTTTTCTTACTTAAAAACTTCCAGTGATGGAGCACCCACAACTTCCCAAGGCAAGTTGTTCCACTGGTTAATTGTCCTCACTGTTAGGAAGTTTCTCCTTAATTCCAGGTTGCTTCTCTCCTTGATTAGTGTCCATCCATCGCTTCTTGTCTTGCCTTCTGGTGCTTTGGACCCCTTCATCTTTGTGGCAGCCCCTCAAATACTGCAATATTGCTCTCATGTCCTCCCCTAGTCCTTCTTTTCTCTAGACTGGCCATACCCAATTCCTGCAACCGTTCTTCATATATTTTTGTCTCCAGGCCTTTAATCATCCTAGTTGCTCTTCTTTGCATTTTTCCCAAAGTTTCAATATCTTTTTTGTAATGTGGTGTCAAAAACTGGATGCAGTATTTCAGGTGTGGTGTTTCTAAGTTTTATAAAAACTTAGGTACTATAAAACTAATGTAGTATGTCCAGCTTTGATTCTACTGTGAGAAAACTCCTTTTTGTTTTCATTGTGGGTTGAAGAATACGTGGCTGGCCATTTTACCCCTATATTAATATGAGGAGCTAACACAGGTACAGAAGTAGGAGGCAGCATGGACAACTAGAATAACTGTACCACATAATAGGCAGAACACGGTTTTGGAAGGAAGACACCTTGGAGTATTTCCAGACATTTGGTGCAAATTGGCTTTGCCAGCTCCAATTTGCAAAACAGCCATCTTTTTTCACAAAAAGCCCATTCTTGGATGAAATGGTTTACATAACAGGAAATCAAATAAAGCATATTTGCATAAAGCAAGGGAAATCTGCAGGGATTTCCTGTGTCAGCCATTTGTAGACTTAGCATTGTAATAAGCATGCACAAAAATAGCCCTAAGTCCAAAATTAAAAGCTTAAATCCCACAAGCAAATTGTCTCATTGATTTCAAATGTGGTTCTCATCATGTTTATCTCAAACAGAATGTGGTCCTGCAGTAAAGGTGTTCACACTAAATTAAAGTTTTGGGTTTTGTTTTTGTTTTTTTCTGCTCCTGGTGCATTTCCTCTGCAAGGTCTTAAAAATAAATTCCTCTTAAATAAAACTTCATAATTTTTTGGCCCTCAGTCAGGAACAGATTTATAAATTGTGACATAAGCTAGCTATGTCAGCTTTCACGGGCAAGCAAAGAGGAAGTAAAAAAAAGAAAAAATCCAGATGGCATCTGTGAGAATACAATCAATGCCCTGCTCCTTTTTTACACACCTGGTGTGACACAACCATTGCTTCGTCTACGCCAGTGGTTCTTAACCTGGGTGATATTGCCCCCCAGGGGGAGATTTCATTTTTCAGGGGCGCGAAGGAACGAAAAGAGGGCGATATGGGGGCGATGGAGTGAGAAGTTTTGGGGACACTTTTGAGACTTTTTCGTACAGTGAATTGCTGTATATCTGTCGTACAAAAACATCAGATTGCTCGCTATTAGTGGATTGAATTGTGTTTTCAAATGTTCCTCCAGCTAGCTTCAGTACAGTTGCGCAGCAGCCTCTACCCATACAGTGGTGCGCCATAGCAAGAATATGAGAGATATGGGAAAAAGACTGGAAATAAATTAGTAATAGTAGTAAAGTTGGAAGGGACCTTGGAGGTCATCTAGTCCAACCCCTTGCTCGGGCAGGAAACTCTACACCATTTCGGACAAATGGCTGTCCAGTCTCTTCTTAAAAACTTCCAGTTTGGAGCATTTACTGCTTCTGGAGGCAGGCTGTTCCACTGATTAATTGTTCTCACTGTCAGGAAGTTTCTCCTTAGTTCTAGGTTGCTTCTCTCTTTGATGAGTTTCCACCCATTGCTTCTTCTCCTGCCTTCAGGTGCTTTGGAGAATAGCTTAATTCCCTCTTCTTTGGGGCAGCCCCTGAGATATTGGAATACTGCTATCATGTCCCCCCTTGTCCTTCTCTTCGTTAAACTAGACATACCCAATTCTAGCAACCGTTCCTCATATGTTTTAGACTCCAGTCCCCTAATCATCTTTGTTGCTCTTCTCTGTACTCTTTCTAGAGTCTCAACATCTTTTTTACATTATTTGCATCGATATGTCCTGATGACAATTTTAAAGAAAACAAAAAAAAGGGTTTGCATAAATGGAAGAATTATTTCCTATGCTGTGATTGAGAGGTTTTGTTGGGGGAGGGGGCGATGACAACTTCCTCATTGGCTCAAAGGGGCGATTCGTTCAAAAAGGTTAAGAACCACTGGTCTACGCTACTGCCTCACTTGGCCCACAGATGTTTGTTTGCCTTTCGGCAGAATTCATTCATCAGCCCCTCCACTGCTGACCTCTGTCACTTCCACGGCCTTGACGTACAGGGTGTCCTTGCTTCACGACCACAATTGAGCCCAGAATTTATGTTGCTAAGTGAGAAATTTGTTGAGTGAGTTTTGCCCTGTTTTATGATTTTTCTTGCTACATTTGTTGAATGAATCATTGCGGTTGTTAAGTTAGTAACCCCGTTGTTAAGTGAATCTGGCTTCCCCATTGACTTTGCTTGTCAGAAGCTCGCAAAAGGGGATCACGTGATCCTGGGACACTGCAACAGTCGTAAATACGAACCAGTTGCCAAGCATCTGGATTTTGATCCCGTGACCATGGGGATGCTGCAATGGTCGTAAGTGGGAGAAAAAGTCACCTTTTTCAGTGCCGTTGTAAACAAACTATTGTTAAGTCAAGGAGTTCCTGTGTTTTATTGTTATTTCTATAGCCACCCAACTTAACCAAGTGACTCTGGGCAGCTTACAATTTTAAAATTTTGTTGTTGTTAGTTGTAAAGTCGTGTCCGACCCATCGCGACCCCATGGACAATGTTCCTCCAGGCCTTCCTGTCCTCTACCATCTTCTGGGGTCCATTTAAGCTCACACCTAGTGCTTCAGTGACCCCCTCCAGCCATCTCGTTCTCTGTCGTCCCCTTCTTCTGTTGCCCTCCATCTTTCCCAGCATTAGGCCCTTCTCCAGTGAGTCCTTCCTTCTCATTAGGTGGCCAAAGTACTTGAGTTTCAACTTCAGGATCTAGCCTTCTAAAGAGCAGTCAAGGTTGATCTCCTCTAGGACTGACTGGTTTGATCGCCTTGCAGTCCAGGGGACTCGCAGGAGTCTTCTCCAGCACCAGAGTTCAAAGGCCTCCATCCTTTGGCGCTCAGCCTTTCTTATGGTCCAACTTTCACAGCCATACATTGCAACTGGGAAAACCATGGCCTGGACTATACGCACTTTTGTTGGCAGGCTGATGTCTCTGCTTTTAGTATGCTGTCTAGATTTGCCATAGCTTTCCTCCCCAGGAGCAAGCGTCTTCTAATTTCTTGGCTGAGCCCATCTGAGGTGATCTTGGAGCCCAGGAAGATAAAATCTGTCACTACCTCCATTTCTTCCCCATCTATTTGCCAGGAATTGAGAGGGCCAGATGCCATGATCTTGGTTTTCTTAATGTTGAAACATCCATAAAATAAATAAATATAAACAGCAGCCGTGATGGTTAATACAGGCAGTCCTTGACTTACAACACTTTGTTTAGTAACCGTTCAAAGTTATAACAGCACTGAAAAAGGTGACTTAGGACCATTTGTCATACTTACATCTGTTGCATTATCCCCCGTGGTCACATGATCGAAATTCAGACGCCGGGCAACTGACTCGAATTTATGACAGTCGCCGTGACCCGGGATCAGTTGATCCCCTTCTGCGACCTTCTGGCAAGCAGAGTCAATGGGGGAAGCCAGAGTCCCTTCACAATTGTTTTCCTAATGTAACAACTGTGGTGATTGATTTAACAAGCGTCATACAATGCTGCAAAATCCACTTAACCATGTCTCACTTAACAACAGAAATTTTGGGCTCAACTGTGGTCATAAGTCGAGGACCACCTGTAGTGAAGGCAAGCAACAGGGCCCTTCACACACACACACACACGCACACACACACACACACACAGACACACACACACAGACACACACACACTGAGCCCCAAAGTGGGGTGCGTAGTCAAGCTTTCAAAGCTTTACAAGGAGCCTTGGGTCCTGATCCCCACTGCCCCACATCCAGCCCCGGACTTCACCTTCGACTTACCTTCTGGCTGAACTCCCGCGCTTTCTGCCTCCTCTCCTGATGCACGGCCTCTGCCCTCCGGATGAACTCCTCCACGCTGCTGCTAGCCCATCGCCGGAGCCGCCCCAGCCGCAGCAGTCCCAGCCTGAGGCCTCCATCCTGGCAGGATCGCATCACGGCAGCCGCATCCTCATAACGCCGGACGTGAGTGCCGTCGACTTCCAGGATGTAGTCGCCCGCTTTGATGCCCGCTTTGGCAGCGGGCGAGTCCTGAGCCACGCTTCCCACCTGCACGGGATCGCCTTCGTTGCAGGTCAAGGTGAAGCCAAAGTGTCCCTGCGGCCCCGGGGGAAGGTCCACCTGCCGGAGGCGGGAGACCACGCCGATGCTGGGGGGGACCTTCTCACACTGCCCGGCCAGGATCACCAGGGTCTCAGCATTCATGGAGGAAACAGGCTGTCCCTCGATCTCCAAAACCTGGTCTCCGGGCTGGAGGCCAGCCACCTGGGCGCTGCTGCCTTCCTCCACAGCCACGATATAGCAGGGACCATTTCCACGGATCTTAAAGCCAAACGCGTCCGGCCACCCAGCATTGGTGGCAGGCATGGCTGCAAAGGAAAAGGGGCCACACAGAAGAGAGTCAGCCATTCACCCCAAGCGAAAGAACAGTGGGTTGACTGCCATGCACACTGTATCAGGGGTCACCAACCTTGGCAACTTTAAGACTTGTGGACTTCGACTTCCAGAATTGTGGAAGTTGAAATCCACAAGTTGCCCAGGTTAGCGGTCCCACACTATGGAATGGGACAACTCGCTGCAGCCACCTCACCATGGCCAACTCTCTGTAGGACAACTAGTAATAGTAATACTAGTAAAGTTGGAAGGGACCTTAGAGGTCATCTAGTCCAACCCCTTGCTCAGGCAGGAAACCCTACACCATTTCGGACAAATGGCTGTCCAGTCTCTTCTTAAAAACTTCCAGTGTTGGAGCATTTACTGCTTCTGGAGGCAGGCTGTTCCACTGATTAATTGTTCTCACTGTCAGGAAGTTTCTCCGTAGTTCTTGGTTGCTTCTCTCCTTGATTAGTTTCCACCCGTTGCTTCTTCTCCTGCCTTCAGGGGCTTTGGAAAATAGCTTAATTCCCTCTTCTTTATGGCAGCCCCTGAGATATTGGAAGACTGCTATCATGTCCCCCCTTGTCCTTCTCTTCGTTAAACTAGACATACCCAATTCTAGCAACCGTTCCTTGTGTGTTTTAGCCTCCAGTCCCCTAATCATCTTTGTTGCTCTTCTCTGTACTCTTTCTAGAGTCTCAACATCTTTTTTACATCATCAGAAGGTAGCTAACTAATCATGGGCCAACTTGACACAGGGCATTCAACAATTTAATTATTTAAAATAATTAAGATTATTTTAGTTTCTGCCATTCACATTTCATTTTGTCCCTCTTTTGGTATCCTTTCTTTAATGATTCTATTCCACCATTTCTTCTACATGAGTGTAACTCTTTTCCCGCGCTAGGTTGTCCCACAGCAAGCTGGCTGTTGCGAGTGGTCCCTCAGCAAGTTGTTGAGAGCAAGTTGGCCACGGCAAGTTGTCCTAGACCCTCTGTACTATATTAAAACTTGTTTTGCCGGGCATGAAACTCTGCACTGCACCCCCAGGCACCCACCCTCCTTTCCCCCCCCCCCGAGGCAGTCCCTTGTTCTTTTGCTCTCTTCCCACAGTGGGGGCCTTGGGAAGATCTTGCACTGGCAAAATGAAGTGGCCCCATCTCTGGCATCTCATCTTCAAGAGGAGAGGGTGAGGATTCGGCTGGACAAGAAGCCATGCATAGAAACCAGTGGTGGGATTCAAATAGGTGGACAACTGGTTCTCTGTGTGGATGCTGCTTCTGGAAGTCCATTCTGGGCCTGGGCAACCAAAAAAATAGCTACCGGTTCTGCCGAAGTGGTGCAAACTGGCTGAATCCCACCACTGATAGAAACTAATCAAGGGACGAACCAACCTAGGTTTTTTAGTCACAAGTAATACTACATTAAGGGATCCCCTTTGCCGTGGGGTGCAAAGCCTGGGCTTCTAGCACCACCATCAATGACATGAAGAGTACAATTGATGAATCAGACATGGGGAACCCAAAAAGCCGACGCAATCCTAGATTGCCTTAACAGAGGACTAGAATCAAGATCATATGAAATATTAGTACTGCTTTATAAAGCCTTAGTAAGAGCAAACTTAGAATACTGCATTCAGTTTTGGTCACCATACTGTAAAAAAGATGTTGAGACTGTGCAAAGAGTGTAGAAAAGAGCAACAAAGATGATTAGGGGGCTGGAGGCTGAAACATATGAAGAACAGTTGCAGGAATTGGGTATGTCTAATTTAATTAGAAGGATTAGGGGGGACATGATAGCAGTCTTCCAATATCTGAGGGGCTGCCCCAAAGAAGAGAGGGGTCAACCTATTCTCCAAAGCACCAGAGGGCAGGACAAGAAGCAACGGATGGAAACTAATCAAGGAGAGAAACAACTAGAACTAAGGAGAAACTTCCTGACAGTCAGAATAATCAATCAGCGTAACTGCTTGCCTTCCAGAAGTTGTGGGTGCTCCATCACTTGGCGGTTTTCAAGAAGAGATTGGCCAACCATTGCCTGAAATAGCATAGGGTTTCCTACTTGAGTCGGGGGTTAGACTACTAGAAGATCTCCAAGGTCCCTTCCAACTCTTATTTTGATTAATCAGACATGGAGAACCTTCCTGCAGCACATTTTATGTCCTGGATTACAATTCTATTTGTTTTTGGGCCCTTGAGCCAGTGCTGACTCCTGGCACTGCCTGGGCCAGTCCCTGCAGCTTTCCTGACATCACATCCCGAAGTGTTTTGCCCTCACTACCTCCTTCTTCCTAGGGCTGAGAAAGAGAGTGACGGCTCCAGGATCCCCAGGCGTTTTTGTGCCTAAGGTGGGAGGGCAACTCACAGCCTCTTGGTTTCTAGCCTGGTGCCTTAAGCACAGCCCCCAAGTAGCTCTCAGAAGGCAGACCCTTTCCAAAGGACAAATGAGTTAAGACTCCTGAAGCAAGACTTCCTTAGCCGCTTTGGAGCATATGAAGAGAAGGGCTTCTTATTCCTTTAGATCAGTGGTTCTCAACCTTTTTAATGCCGCAACCCTAGCCGGTCATAAGTCGAGAACTACTCAACCGGTCGTAAGTCGAGGACTACTCAACTGGTGCAGCACCGTTTGCAGAATGGGACTTTTGGCGGGCTCAGCAGGGCAGAGACAGCCTGGACAATTCCTATTGGCTTTTGAAAGCCAGTAGAATTAGACTCTATTCAAGAGAGTCTATTCTATTGGCTTTCAAAAGCCAATAGAAGAAAAGGGAGGAGCACAGCTAAGGAAAAGGGGGGAAAAATGGCGGACTGCGTTGTTTGGCGACCCTCGTGAAATGGTCGTTTGACCCCAAATGGGGTCCCGACCCACAGGTTGAGAACCGCTGCTTTAGATGGGTAAATACTTTGTTGTAAGAATGTCTGTGTGCTTTGTTTTGGCCTCTTTTACAGCAGAAGGCGGCAGCACTGGGGGGGAATGAAGGCTGCCACTCAATCTGGGGGCAGAGGATAAATGGGCGGATGATTCTGTGGGATGCCCATTTTATGTTTTTGAAAGAGTTTTAAAAGTAGGGATCGGAGCAGATTCCCCCCCCCCCAATTCACACCGAAAGGCTCCAGTATCATGGAGTCCAGAGAGTCATTGACTGCTAATTCTGTCTCTTCTTTTTCTTTTCCTATTTACCCCTGTTGGTTGGCTTTTTCTGTCTTCCCCTCTTCCTTCTCTTCCTTTTCTTCCTCCTCCTCTTCCTTCTTCCTCTTCCTTCTCTTCTCCTCCTTCTTTCTCCTCCTTCTCCTCTCCTTCTCCTTCTTCCACGTAAAATATTTTCTTTGGACAGTCCTTCATGCAACAATGAAATAGACTATCACTTCAGCTTATGCCACAATACTGGAAGTGTTAGTCTGAAAGTTGCCACAGCTCTTTTGTCATTTATAGCCTTGACTGATGTTTTCCCACCTAACCTTCGCATGTCCAAGTATAGCTGTTTAGCTGCAGAATCTTGTAGCTAATTGAGAAGTTTTTTTTTTCCTGTGTCCTGCTTCCTTCTCATTGACGCAGTTTCATCACATTATTGTGATGGCCCAATAAATTTGTAGATCCCCAAGAAATGCAAGGAACAGAAGGCCTCCTGCTTGAGCAAGGGGTTGGACTACAAGACCTATTCTATTCTATTCTATTCTATTCTATTCTATTCTATTCTATTCTATTCTATTCTATTCTATTCTATTCTATTCCATTCCATTCCATTCCATATCCTATCCTATTCCATTCCCTATCCTATCCTACCCTATCCTTATTATTCTATTCTATCCTTATTATTCTATTCTATTCTATTCTATTCTATTCTATTCTATTCTATTCTATTCTATTCTATTCCATTCCATTCCATTCCATTCCATTCCATTCCATATCCTATCCTATCCTATTCCATTCCCTATCCTATCTATCCTATCCTATCCTATCCTATCCTTATTATTCTATTCTATCCTTATTATTCTATTCTATTCTATTCTGTTCTGTTCTGTTCCGTTCCGTTCCGTTCCATTCCATTCCATTCCATTCCATTCCATTCCACTCCACTCCACTTCACTCCACTCTATTCTATTCCATTCCATTCTATTCGCTTTCTTCTTCTGTTTATGAAACATTACAATTTGAAATCCAAGCACAAAGAAGGCCTGAATTATAACTGGAATGGCACAGTCCAACCCTTGTAGGGGGCTTCCTATCTGAAGGAGGCGAACTGGACTCAAAGCCAAAGTCTCAGAGCACCAGATCAATACTTGCTAGCAAATTAATAATGCCAGCAGAGGGGGCTTCAGCATTTAGGAATGCATATCGAGAGGGATTCAGAAATTTGAAGGAGGAATGTAAGACAATACCACTTCCTGCTACAAAGATGGGTTTGATGGGTGTAAGGTGACCATTGATTATCTTGCAAACGGAGCTTATGCTTGATTAAAAGATGATTCCTCTCTGAAGTCTCTGGAACAAGGTCACCGTGAAACATTTCAAGAACGATGGCAGAAATGAAACAAATCATAAAACTCTAGAATTGGAAGGGCCACCAAAGTCAACCTGTCTCCTTCTCTGCATCTGGAGATCCTCATGCCCACCAAGGTGCAACTGGCCACCAACAGACCAAGGCACAGGGACTAGAAGAAGGTATCTGACATTTGGTCCTTCTGGTCCAGCTGTTCTCCAGGATCATCAGCTGAGAAAGTTATCCTCCATCAGTTACCTCTCGGCACTTGAAACAGACAATGGCGGCGATTGAAGCCCTGCAGGCTAACACAGCGGTTCTGCAGGTTTTACGTCCTTTATAAATGTGTTCCATAGCCAAAGTCATTAATCAGATTTTCATGAGTACTCATTGTTTTGATGCAAGAAGCATGATTTGTTTTTCAGAAACCAGCAAGATATCTCTTCCATACTAATTGGGCAGTAATTTTCATATTACAAAAAAACAAAGACTAGTTTAAAATCTGTCATCTAATTAATTAGGAATGCTGATTGAGCCAGCTGCATTTATTTTCCCCAATTATTGCAGTTTGGGCCAGTTTGGGTTGGGAGGGAGAGGGATCCTCTGAACGCAACGGCCATTGAGGAGGTTCAGCAGCACAGAGGTCTCCAACCTTGACCACTTTTAGACTTGTGGACTGGGCCAACTGGGGAATTCTGGGAGTTGAAATCCACAAGTCTTAAAGTGGTCAAAGTTGGAGACATTTCTCATCAGGATGTGCCCCAGAGACAGAACTCTTGGAATATTTCTTCCAACAGACATCCTTTATTAAGAGAAAATGGTTGCAGTTTTTCTCGCGGGAAAAAAAAGATCTTGCAAAGTTGGAATTGATTGATTGAACTTTTTAGTCCCACCCAGTTACCACTGCAGCCACGCCCAGCCAATGGGCCACACCCAGCCAATGGCCACACCCACCCGGCACCCAACGATGCATAAGTGGGTTTTGGGTTGCAGTTTGGGCACTCAGTCTCTAAAACAGCGGTTCTCAACCTGTGGGTTGGGACCCCATTTGGGGTCGAACGACCATTTCACGGGGGTCGCCAAACAATGCAGTCCGCCATTTTTTTTCCCCTTTTCCTTAGCTGTGCTACTCCCTTTTATTCTATTGGCTTGAATAGAGTCTAATTCTATTGGCTTTCAAAAGCCAATAGGAATTGTCCAGGCTGCCCTGCTGAGCCCGCCAAAAGTCCCATTCTGCAAACGGTGCTGCACCAGTTGAGTAGTCCTCGACTTATGGCCGGTTGGGGGTCGCGGCATTAAAAAGGTTGAGAACCACTGATATAGAAGGTTCGCCATCACTGGAATAGAGAGAGCCTCTTCATGGCTTCCAACTCGCCAAGCAGCTCAAAAAGTGCCTCCTTGTGTGAAGCATCTTCCCCTTAGCATAGGGGTCCCCAACCTCCCAGCCATGACCCACTACCGAGCCATGGCCTATTCACAACCGAGCTGTGGGCTGGCGCACATACCCGTGCACACATCTCAATTTGCATGAACGGTAGCTGGTGCACACGCCCATGCTACGCAGCTGCACTTGCAGTCAAGCTGTGTGTGCATGTGCATGCGTGCCACTCACATGCATTGAGCTGCGCTCACACAGCCCAGTTCCCCTTTTCCCATCCCTCCAAGCTGGGCCGCCAAGCCACAAAGGTGAGGGACTGCTGCCTTAGCACCCTTTTCAAAGCCTTGCAGGAGCAGTGAGGAAGAGTTTAGATTAGGTGGTCCAGGACCAGACACCTACATCCCATTACTTGGGAGTGATGGAGAGAAGTTTCCTCCATGTTCTAAGATCAGGACAAGGATCCTAGTGAGTTGGCCTGGCTAAAAAATAATGAGAGCAAACTTGGCTTCTTAGGGCTTAAGAGGTTGGAGGGGAGCATTCTAGCCTTCCTGCCTGATGACCTAGGTCAGGGGTAGGCAACCTTGGCTCTTTTATGACTCGTGGACTTCAACTCCCAGAATTCCTGAGCCAGCCATGCTGAGGGAAAAGAAAGAGGTTTCCAAGCTAAACCCTGCTGGCTCAGGAATTCTGGGAGTTGAAGTCCACCAGTCAGGAAGGGGCCATAGTTCCCCCATGCTGGCTCAGGAATTCTGGGAGTTGAAGTCCACGAGTTATGAAGGGGCCATAGTTCCCCCCATGCTGGCTGAGGAATTCTGGGAGTTGAAGTCCACGAGTCATGAGGGGGCCGTAGTTCCCCCATGCTGCCTCAGGAATTCTGGGAATTGAAGTCCACAAGTCTTAAAGTTGCCAAGGTTGAGGACCCCTGATATAGGGCAGGGGCGGGGAACCTTGGCTCTTTTATGACTCGTGGACTTCAACTCCCAGAATTCCTCAGCCAGCCATGCTGAGGGAAAAGAAAGAGGTTTTCAAGCTGAGCCATGCTGGCTCAGGAATTCTGGGAGTTGGAGTCCACGAGTCCTAAAAGAGCCAAGGTTGCCTACCCCCGACCTAGGAGCTTCAGGAAGCTGGAATCTCCTCCTCAAGCTACGAGTGACCACTTTCAGCCCCGAAGCACTTCCAGAGTTTAGGCCATAAATGGCATCTTTATCTGCCTGCTCTTCAGCAGTCTGCACCCAGAAGATCCGCAGAACAGCTTCTTGCAAGACTGCATTGTTCTGTGCATACCTCAAAGGTGTACAGGTAGTCCTCATTTAGTGACTGTTCACAGTTGTGATGGTGATGAAAAAGTAATCGTATGACCAATACTCACATTTGTGATCTTCGCAGGTCTGTGAAGCAAAGGAAAACCGAGCACGGTTTTGGTCAGTGACCACTTCGCTTAACAAGAAGGTTGCCGGTCACAATTATGGTTGTTAAACGAGCACTACCTGTAGTGCCGAGTGCCAGAACCTCAGCAGGTGACAGTACCTGGCTAGCCTCAGCAACGAAGCTGGATCAAGACTGGCTAAGTCAGTGGTTCTCCCCTGTGGGTCGGGACCCCATTTGGGGTCGAACGACCATTTCACGGGGGTCGCCAAACAACACAGTCTGCCATTTTTTCCCCCTTTTCCTTAGCTGTGCTACTCCCTTTTATTCTATTGGCTTTTGAAAGCCAATAGAATAGACTCTCTTGAATAGAGAGAGCCAATAGGAATTGTCCAGGCTGTCTCTGCCCTGCTGAGCCCGCCAAAAGTCCCATTCTGCAAACGGTGCTGCACCAGTTGAGTAGTCCTCGACTTACGACCGGTTGAGTAGTCCTTGACTTACAACCGGTTGGGGGTCGTGACATTAAAAAGGTTGAGAACCACTGGGCTAGGTGGCAAGCTAGACAGGAAGTCAGAAGATTACAGAAGATGGCAAAGTGCAGCTGTCAAGAAAATGATACAGATGTAGACTTCAAGGAGATTAATGTAGAAAAGTCCAATTTGGGAAAATGAGGACTGCCAAGAGCTTCTCTCTCCCCTCATCCCCGTCCCCCTTTGAAAGCTTACTTGTTTCCTGCAAGGCCGAACAGCACCGGTGGCTGGGAAGGAGCACTCTGGCAGAGCTTCGGCACTTCTGGATCAGTTACAGCCCCATGGGGCAAGCGGCTGAGTTTCCATGGCAAATAGTCTCCCGTGCAGTAATTTAATAAGGCCATCTTTTGCAGCCTAGTCTAGCCAGGAAGAGACAGGCAAGGCCTGGGGTGGATGGGCAGCAGAGCAGAGGGACTGAAAGATTCAGCAGCTGAGAGAGATGGAAGGGCTGCTCCCTTGCACACTCACTGTGGGCCGTCCCTTAGAAGCAGTTTATGGGAATTGTAGTGGCACACAACTGGGAGGGCCAGAAGGCTTCAGCCTCCAAAATGAGTGAGCCATGGAGCCACCTGGCTGACCCCTTCCGAATCAAAGCACAGCCAAAGCAGTCCCATGGCTGAAGGGCAGAGGAGGAGCTGACCATCCCTCCGGCCCATCACAGGTCAGCTGCAGCCATGCAAAGAGTAGGGTGACCAGCTGTATGGCAAATGAGGCTATGCCTCATGTCTTCCATCCAGGAGGCCTAGCTTAGAATCAAATGCTGTCCAGGTTTTGGAGTATCTTGTTTTTTTTCAGTTCCATTCAACCATTCACATATTGTGAAATTTGTAAATGATTTGTGTCTTTCTTTTCCTAGTCCATCCACAGACGCAACAGTCTAGATTCGTGTTATTTATTTCCTGATTCCAGAAAGCAGCTTTCATCCAGCCCCTTTCCCATATATACAATCACTCGACTTGTCACCATGAAATTTGGAACGTTGTCAATTCTAGATTATTGTTAAGTGTTATGTCCTTGAAAATAAAGATGAGTTGAAAAATACTGTGACTGAAGAACCAACTCTTGCTGATGCTGGAAAAAGTGATTTCATAGGCATGTCGGCCTAAGGATTTTTTTTAAAATAGTTTTTCGCTGTAAGTTTTGTTATGGGGGGCCAAAGAAATTCAAAAGCTACCGAGTCCTCCTCTCCTTGCCCATTTGCCCTCCTGTCCAGTTGCCAGTGTCTGTCCCCCCTGAGCAGGGGGCTGGACTAGAAGACCTCCAAGATCCCTTCCAGCTCCGATTCTGAAGTCCATGCTTGCAGGTCATGTCTTCCTGTGGGTTCCACCAGAGGGGCCTAGCCTGGGGGCCATGGGTCACCTGGTGGGGCCCAGGAGTGCCTTTCTGCCCCAGGTGGCACATTTTACATTTTGTATTTATCTTTATTTATCTCAAAGGTGCCTTTTCAAAGGGCAAGTGGACTGTTAATTTGTTTTCCTTTGAGAAAAAAGTTTTTTTTTCCCCTTTGAGGAAAAAGAAGACGTTTCTCTTCTCATCCAAGAAGCTTCACCGGTTCTGGCAGGATGGGGGGGCAATAGGGTTACTTCTGACTGAATATGGGGGGTGGTGTTGATTGGAAGGATGATATTTCTTTGCAGCCATCTGGTCGTCAGCGCTTATATTTGGCTGGCTGTTCCATCTTTTTTTCTTCTTTCTTTAAACAAGCCCTGGAAGCACCGCGCAGACCGAGACCAAAAGACCGCAGCTCCTTCACCGACCGCCGTTAGTCTAATGGCGCTTCCCACTTAAGCCTCAACGCAGCGGAGCAGCTCCTACAATTCCCATCCCGCCTTCTCGAGCGCGCGCGTGTGACGTCACGAGGGCGGCCGGCTTCGGACCTCGCGGATTGGATAATCGCTTGCCCCGCCCCCGCCCTCGAACCGTCATGGCGGCGCCCGTTCCGGGGATCACGTGAGCGAAGGAGCCGGTCGCGGGTCCGTTGCTAAGCGACGCGGGGGCGCCTCGTCTCCCCTGGGGGGGGGCTCCTCTGCCTCTCGGGGGGTGGTTTGCAAGGAGGCGGCCTCGAAATGGCTCTCGGGGGGCCTCGCCTCGACGACGCGGCCGCCATAAGACCGGGCGGCGGGGGAGCCTCTCCCGAGTCCGGCGCGACCCTTCTGGGGGCTCCGGGGAGGCCGCCCGCCTCCTGTCTCGCCGCTCTGGCTCCCTTAGGTGCGGCTGGCAGGAACGACGGGGAGGGTGGAGCAAGATACAGGTAGTCCTCGACTTACAACGGTTCGTTGAGTGACCGTTTGACGTTACAGTGGCATACACAAAATACATATTTTTCACACAACTGTGGCAGCATCCCCTTGGTCACATGATCAAAATTCAGCCAATTGGCAACTGACCCATGTTTATGACAGTTGCCCTGTTCTGGAGTCACGTGATCTGCTTTTGCAACCAAAGTCAATGGGGAAGCCGGATTCACTTTGCAACCGTGCTAACTAACTAAACAACTGCAGTGATTCAATCAACAACTGTGGGAGGAAAGGTCGTAACATTCACTTAACTGTCTTGTTTAACAACTGAAATTTTGGGCTCAATTGTGGCCGCATGTTGAGGACTACCTGTACCCCTGCCTGCCCTGCAGCCCATTCCTGCTTCGCTCCAAAGGCCTCCACGCAAACCATGGCCGGAGGGGGATCGAGCCCTGCTCCCCCCTTGGGCAGCTGTGCCCAGACGGAGCCCTGGTGAACCTCCCCAGGGGCACCGATGTGGAAGCCACACTCGGCAGGTCTCCTTGGGCCCAAAGGGGAAATAAGGCATCGGGCCGCAAGCTGCTAAGGCGTGTGTGGATTTTGCAGGGCAAGATGGACTTTGTGATCCTCTTCGGCCTGTATCTCGGCCTGGTGCTGCTCAGCGTGGTGGTCTGCATCTCCTCCCGACGGGAGCAAAGCTTCTCTTGGAGGCTCATCAGGGGCACAACGCAAGTAAGGGTCATCCAGCTGTGTGCCACTTTCTGCCCTTCCAACACAAATCTTCACACCTCTGCCTTGGTCCCCAGTCCAGTCACTTATCTTATTTTTATTTATCAAATTTCTATACCACCCTTCAGACTTGGCACACCTCTGGACAGTTAACTTTTGCCTGGGGAGAAAGAAAGGAAAGCCCAGAATTACAGCTGCTCCTCTTTCCAGCATTTTGTAGGTCAACCTCCATCCCATCCTTCATTTGCAGTCTCTGCTCTAGTATGAAATACAGATAGTCCTCGACTTATAACAGTTTGTTTAGCGACCTTCAAAGTTACAATAGCACTGAGAAAAGTGATGTGGCCATTTTTCACACTTTTGACATTGCAGCATCCCCACGGTCACTTGGCAACTTGTGTATTTGTGACGGTTGCAGTGTCCCAGGATCATGTGATCCCCTTTTTGCGACCTGACAAGCAAAGTCAATGGGGAAATCAGATTCATTTAACGACCATGTTACTAATTTAACAACTGCAGTGATTCACTTAACAAATGTAGCAAGAAAAGTTGCAAAATGGGGCAAAACTCAACAAATTTCTTACTTAGCAACATAAATTCTGGGCTCAATTGCAGTTGTAAGTCGATGACTACCTGTAGAAGCAAAATTCCCAGAATCTTTTCCTTTAGCATGGGCATCAGCCCCTTTCAGGGAAGAAGATGCTTCTTGCATGTTATTTCCTGAAATGAATATATTGATTTATGAAATGTATGGGCTGCCCCAATCTGTTTCAACTTTGGACAGCTTACAAAGTACAAAAATAAATACTATGAAAACCCAAAACATTATCACAAAGCCAAGGGGAAAACAATTTTAAAACAAGAATACCATATAATGGATCCGTCACCTGCTCTAATCCAAGACCTGGAGATAAGCCAGATCTCCACGGCTTCTTTAAAAGAGGCAGGGAGAGGTCCATGCAAATCTCAGGAAGGACAGTGTTTTAAAGACTAGGATCCATGCTTCCTAAGGCTGTTCCTCTCCAAACACTGGGACAATATCTTGATAGCATCACCTGGCTGTGGCTAAGATGCATATGTATCCTACAAACCAATGGCTTTACCAGTAACCTGATGTGGATGTTAAACAGGAGGGATGAGAGCATTGCGCCCTCATGTACCCAACATAAGAGGGCTCTCTGGTTACTTCTCCTCCTCCCCATAATCTCCAACTAGATCTATCCATAGAAGAAAGAGAACACCATGAATCCCACTGTCAGCCTTTGCATACAGTCCAGAAGGAAACCCGAACTGACGATACTGAAAATTACTGAGAGATCAAGTTGTATCATGATGATTACACTTTTCCTATCCAAGCACTGCCAGAAGTCAGCAACCAGAATGACCAATGATGTCTTAAATATCATTATTAAGATGGGAGCTGTTTGGGTCCCTGGGGAGATGCTGTTTCAGTAGATAGATAAATAACCTTTATTGTCATTTTTTACTGTGGCACACATTAAAAATGAATTTTTTGTTGCCTGCTCTCACAAGCATACAAATACGTAACACATATAAACATGCTATATACAACATATGTATATACCTGCATCCTTACATATAAATATTAATCACTGTCCATCTTGAATACCTAGCGGAAAGAGGAAACTTGAGAGTTCACAGTAGATGACATCATTTGATGTGGGATCCTAATATAAACACAACAAAATATCCTGAAAGAATTGTGGGGTAATGGCAGTCTGTCCTTGATGATGGGATCATGGTTCCCTGTCTTCTTTTCTAAAGATGTGGAGGATTGGTTCAGCAATGACGGTTTCCATCTTAGGACCTCTTTAATTGCCATTTGACAACTAACAGCCTGAAAGTTAGCATCAAGGCGGACATGCGGCAGTTTGCTAGTCTCCCGCCTTCGGTTCCTGAGGGTTCTGGAGCAATGACCTTGCAGGTTTTGTGAGTGAGTGAGTGAGTTTGTCTGCGCTCTCCACCCCCACCTTTTCTTTTTTAAAAATAATTTTGTTGTTTTGTCTCCTTTGATGCAGGTGTTCTCCTATGTGATTCCAGCTCCAGTTCACAGAGCAGCTCAAAAGGCGATTCATGGACTCTTCCATACACGGTACTGCCCGTCTGCTTTTTTATGGGCTCCATTCTCTGGCGTTTGTGAATATTGGCATCAGCATCCTAGCTTGGTAAAATGGTTTCCAGTGTTGTTCAGACTTGCAATGTCCCTTCTACACACTCGCCTCCTAGTTTTATATGGCATACAATTTTGTGGTATCACATTGATCTTTAAATTTTGTTTGGGACGAGGTCTGCTGGACTACTGTCCTCTTTCTTCAGTATCTTTGACTGGTTGGAAAGAAATTGCTCCTGCAATGGCAAGAAGCCTGGAAAACAGTTGTAATACATTCAGCATTCCCACAACATCCTCTCAGGAACTAGACCAGTGATGTCGAATCTTTTAGAGACTGAGTGCCCAAACTGCAACCCAAAACCCACTTATATATCGTCGGGTGCCAGGTGGGTGTGGCCCATTGGGTGGGTGTGGCCCATTGGGTGGGCGTGGCCCATTGGGTGGGCATGGCTGCGATGGTAACGGCAGATTGGGTGGGACTAAAAAGTTCAATCAATTCCAACTTTGCAAGATCTTTTTTTTTCACGCAAGAAGTTGAAATTGATTGATTGAACCTTTTTTTTTTTTTGCACATGGCGGAGGCCTAAAGCGAAAAGGTTTTATAAAACCCAGCTGAAGGCCCAGGACTGGGGCGATGGCGTGCGTGCCAACAGAGAGGGCTCTGAGTGCCGCCTCTGGCACCCATGCCATAGGTTCGCCACCATGGAACTAGACCCTCCCGGTCTTCTGTTTGTAGCTCCAGAGCAGCTACGGAACAAAGGAGGTCTTCACCATGCTTCTTAGCTAAGAGCAAAATGGCGGTCATTCTGTGGTCCTAGCTCCCCTTCTGATTCCTTGTGCCACCCTGTGCAACAGCAGAAGTTCCTCCATTTGGATGCTTCTGAGGGGATGATCTTTGGAAATGATACAAGCCAAAGAAATTAATAAACACACCACCCTAAAACTACAAAAAGCGGAACCAGCCTCGGCCTGCTCTGCACATGTAGCTGCCAGATAGGTGAAGTGAATTCACCTAAGGCAGTGGTTCTCAAGCTTTTTAATGCCGCGACCCCCAACCGGTCATAAGTCGAAGACTACTCAACCGGTCGTAAGTCGAGGACTACTCAACTGGTGCAGCACCGTTTGCAGAATGGGACTTTTGGCAGGCTCAGCAGGGCAGAGACAGCCTGGACATTCCTATTGGCTTTTGAAAGCCAATAGAATTAGACTCTATTCAAGAGAGTCTATTCTATTGGCTTTCAAAAGCCAATAGAATAAAAGGGAGTAGCACAGCTAAGGAAAAGGGGGGAAAAATGGCGGACTGCGTTGTTTGGCGACCCCCGTGAAATGGTCGTTCGACCCCAAATGGAGTCCCGACCCACAGGTTGAGAACCACTGACCTAAGGCATCTGTATTGAGTTCTGAGTTAGGATTGTAAACCACGGAACAAGTTTTGAGGCCTGATAGGCAAACTCAGGTCAGAGGCAGTTCCCTTTCCTTTAAAAGCAGGGAGAAGAAATACATCTCATTTTCTCCTTGCTGCAGGAATTCTTTCTTTGTGGTCTTGCACTTGATCTTGGAAGGGCTGGTTTATGGCGAGTATACCTGGGAAGTGTTCGGCTACTGCCAAGAGCTGCAGTTCAGCAGTCTTCTCCTCCTCCTTCCTTACCTCCTGTTGGCTGTGAATGCAGCTTTCTTCATCCTCTGCTCCAGAAGTAATCCAGGTGAGGCCCTTTTCCTTGCAAGCTCAGCTCTTGGACACTGGCACTGTCCTGGGTGTGATATGCAGGTTCTGAGGGTTTTGCTTGATACAGAAATACAGGAAACCAGAAGTTGCCTTCAAGCTTTACGTTTTTATTCAGCTGAAGAGAGACGGGCTCTTCTAAATGAGAGAAGCCCCGAATGACAAGAAATCCTTGTATTTATTCTTTCTAATTACATAAAGCAACCCACCAGCAAAACTGACACACATAAGATAAAGATTTCACCCAGTAAGTCTGGCACACTGTAGATAAGAAGGGAGAAAGCAAAAGTAGCTAAACATGTTCCGTTTTGGGTGTTTCCCTAAAGATATCGTATGTTCTTGGGTGGGTTGGGACACTGGGTATTTTTCAGGACAAAGAGAGGAAACGGTGCTTTAAAACTGGCACTCATATAAACAACTGCCTCAGCTGCTGGTTGGGAATCCGATGGAGGAAGGATGCATAAGTGCAATTAGCTGGGCATCTCTCTGTAGTGAAGGGATGTGAGGACTAGCCCACAGACGCTTCTTTCGTACAGAGCAGGAAAGATTTGCTTCAGAGGAAAACAGTGGATTTGATCTCAAGGCTGTCTCTGATCTGGACCCTCAAGGTTAACTTTATGGTACTTCAGGTACAGTGGATTAGGGGTCCCCAACCTTGGCAACTTTAAGGCCTGTGGACTTCAACTCCCAGAATTCCCCAGCCAGCATCGCAGTAGATGGCAGGACCCCTGCAGTAGATGGCAGGAAGGAACTCTCACAACAGCCAAGACATTGCAGTCTGCATTGTTCTGCTAGTAAGAATCCTTGCTTTTCCCCACAAGGTATCATCACCAAATCCAACCAGCTTCTCTTTCTTCATGCATATGCATACGATGGTCTGATGTTTCAACAAGATGCTGAATGCCCTACCTGTGCCGTGAGAAAACCAGCCAGATCCAGACATTGCGGTAAGAGTCTCGATTTAGCCTCTGTCCCTGGAGAGCCTATTTATGCACTATGATCTGCTGCAGAGCTGCTGATCCAGACCCTGCCGTCATTTAGAGAGAGGTCAGTGGGGAACCTGCCTTGTCCTCCATCCAGCTCTCCGGAGCAAAGGAACTCTGTCCCAGGAATGCATCCTTTCCCACAGAAAGCGAAAACGTGCCCTATAGCCCTGGCTACCTCTGCTGCCAAGGAGGCCGGGCCAACATTTTTCCCGTTTTTTTTATTTCAATGACAGCTTGATGGACATCAGGAACCTTTTGTGATGACCCAGGGCCCCGCTGGCTGGCAAAGAGAAACAGTCCTTTGTTAACTGCCAATGTTCCCCAAAAGCTCCCACATATGCTGGCAAGCCTTCAACCGAAGCACACACACAAGTTCCCTTCAGCTGCCTTTGGCTCAAGGCCAGACTGATAACAAGAAAACAAAACAGAAACTGAATGAATCCTTTTAAATCTCAGCTTGCCTGCAGTCTGCGAGGAGAAACTCAGAAATGCAGTCTGCGGTGGGTCGCAGCCGGTCCGGTATTCAAGGTGTCCAGGTTAAACAAAGACAAGAGCACAATTCACAACTTCCTCAAGATACCTCGTTTGTTCCCGGCAAATGCCCCACCCCACAGCGTCTCCTTAAATCTTAATCCCCAGGTGTGCCTTGTGGAGTGGGGCGGGCTACTCTCCTCCAGGGCAATCCTCACCTGAACTCTGCCTCTCCTGTTCCAAACCTGAAGAGCTCTGGCCTGCCTCAGCCTGCGCTTCCCCACAGTCCTCCGAAACCACAGACACCTCCCCCTGGGCTTCAACAAGGTCCTGCTCCAGCTCCGTGTCCTCGGGTTGGGACGGAGGCATGACACCTTTCCCAGAAAGGACCAGTTGGAATGGACCCTGCCCAAAGCCCACTGGGAAGGGGAGGGGCTATCTCAAAGGATCAGAAAGCCTCTCCAGGAGTCACCGAGAAAGCCTCCCCCCCCCCCCCCAGACATAAATTCTCACTTGTTATCCCTTGGCTGTCCCTCTGTACAGGTCCTCTAAATCAGGTTTTAAATCGGTGCTGCCAAGTTAACGTAGTACTGTCTTTAATGTGGCCTGAAACTCTATAGCAGTGTTTCTCAACCTTGAGCATTTTAAGGCACGTGGACTTCAACTCCCAGAATTCCACAGCCAGCAATGCTGGCTGTGGAATTCTGAGAGTTGAAGTCCACGTGCCTTAAAATGCTCAAGGTTGAGAAACACTGCTCTATAGAAAGGAGCGGATAGTCCTCAATTTACAAACACAACTGAGCCCCCGATTTCTGTTGTCAAGCAAGACCGTTAAGTGAGCGTTGCCCCATTTAATGACCTCTCTTGCCACAGTTAAGTGAATCACCGCAGTCATTAAGTCAGGGACACGGTTGTTAAGTGAAGCCGGCTTCCCCATTGACTCTGTTTGTCAGAAGGTCGCAGAAGGGGATCACGTGACCCCAGGACCCAGCACTGGTCATAAATACAAGCCGGTTGCTAAGCGTCTGGATTTTCATTATGTGAGCATAAGGATGCTGCAACTGTCGGGTGAAAAATGGTCATAAGTCACTTTTTTTCAGTGCTGTGGTAACTTTGAACAGTCGCTAAACCAGTGGTTCTCAACCTTTCTAATGCCGCGACCCCATAATACAATTCCCCATGTTGTAGTGACCCCCAACCACTTATACATCACCGGGTGCCAGGGGCGTGGCCAAAGAAAAGGGGGGGAAAATGGCAGACAGCCTTGTTTGGTGACCCCCGTGCAATGGTCGTTCGACCCCAAATGGGGTCCCGACCCACAGGTTGAGAACCACTGCGCTAAACGAACAAGTGTTAAGGACTACCTATAGCAGTGATGGCGAACCTTTTAGAGACCAAGTGCCCGAAACCCGCTCCCGCTCCTGCCTCCCTACCCCCGCCCACTCCGCACCTGCCCTGCCCGCTCCACCCGCGCTCCGCTCGCCCGCAGGGCCACCCACCGCCTCCATGGCCTGCTGCAGATCGCCCAGGCAGCCTAGCAGCGCCATGGCGGCCATGCCCTCTGCCCGCACCCCACAGCATCATCTGCACATGACAGGGCGTGAGGGTGGAGTCTTGTCCCCGCTGCCCGGATGCCATGTCCTTGGCTGCACTGCTCTGCGCAGACCGTGCTTGGGGGCGACTCTCCTCCGGGGGGGGGCTGCTGGTGAGGAGGAGGCGTGGGGGGAGGCGGGCCGGGGCGATGTTGCGCGCGTGCCCACAGAGGGCTCTGAGTGTATTTTTTTGTATTTGTATTTAATTTTATTTATATGCCACCCAATCCCAAAGGACTCAGGGCGGCGTACAGAGTTAAAACAATCATAAAACAATAAAATAATACAGTCATACCGCGAGTCCGATCACGCGTGCCAAAGGTTTGCCAGCACTGACCTATAGTATTTACAGTAATTAATTCATTTCCATTGCAGAGTATTCTTTAACTTGCTGTTAAATCTCTTTTCTTATGAAACTGGGAAATCACATTCAGGAAACTATTAGAGGAGAGTCGATTAAATCTTTGTAGTTATCAAAAATCAGTGCAGTTTGATATGCCAAGTTTTTCCTCCTTCACGAAAGCAAACCTTCTTTGCTATTGCTCCTAGATCAAAATGCTGCCTTACTTGGCTTTTGGTTTCATTATAATTTCTTAAAATCTTGACCCTCGTCTTCCATTTTCCACTCAGGCGTGTGCTGTGGCTGCATACATCGTTTTGATCACCACTGCGTTTGGGTCAACAACTGCATTGGAGCCTTCAACATCCGGTTCTTCCTTTGCTACCTGCTCACTTTGATCTCCATGGCAGCTTCTATTGCAGCTCTAACAGCCAGCTTCCTCATCCAGGTGGTCCTTTTGTCAAATCTTACATTGGGATATTATACGGATGACCAAGGTCAAGAACATTCAGTTGATACCTTCTTTCTTATGCAGGTAAAATAGTGACTAACTTGTGCATTTTTCATGAGGGGAGGCTACAGAGACTGAATTTCAAAAGCCTAAGGGGGCAGAACAGATTGAAACCACGTCTTCGTCTTAGTACTTGAAAACATTTGATAGGACATTAAATGATTTTGCTTGCTTCCTAATCTGTCAATACAATCTTGAGGATGAGAATCCTAAGAGCTAGGAACTAGTGGAACCGCCGATTGTGTGATTCTTCACAGGAGATAGCCATATGACCAAACTGCTTCAGCAGGCTAGGCTACATGACCTCTGGAGTCTCTTCCAACTCAGATTTAGCAAGTGATGTTGCCAGAATGAATTACTAGACTAGGCTAGGAGGGGAGATGGAGATCCTGTGTATCTGGATTTTAACTCGTTTCCCCCTCTCTTCACAGCATCTGTTCTTGACCTTTCCTAGAATTGTATTCGTGCTGGGCTTTGTCATCCTTCTGTTGGTTATACTGGGCTCCTATTTCTGCTTCATCCTGTATCTTGTACTGACCAACCAGACGAGCAACGAATGGCTTAAATCAGCAAGATATACACACTCATACTCAGAGCAAAACAGCAGACAGGAAGGCTATCAAAATATTTACTCCAAAGGAGTCTGGGCCAATCTGGCAGAAATTGTGATGCCTCTGACAAGTCCTGCAAAGAAAAGGAAGTGAATCCCTCAACACACACACCCATGGCAAAACAGTCTGCACCTTACAAACTTACCTTCTGTAGAATGAATTTTTATTCTGCTACTAAATGATGAATACTCGGAAGCGGGAAATGAGTTAACATATTAGATTGTTAATGGTGAGCACCGAGTGCTATCCTTTGCACTTTTAAAAAAAGTTTGCCTGCTAAAAAGCCCCGGGGATGAGGTGATACATTGATATTGTGGTGAAAGTGATTGGTCACGCAGTTAGGCAGCTCTTTAGATATGATTTGGCATCTTTATCCACCTATTGAGTCCCTCCCAAGGACCTGGGAAAAGCAGATGTTGTTTGATGGAGTAAAAAGCATCATTGCAGGATTTAAGCTGTTCCGTGTCAAGCTCCCTTTTACAATTGACTGAAGAGACTTTCCAAATGTTGCTCCAGATGTTTTGGGTGCTAATTACTACTGGGACTATCTTTGCTCTCCTTTGCCACAGCTGTTCTATTTGCTATTTGCATGTCTTAATATTTTATGGTTTTCTCCAGTTCTTTCTCTTGTCTCCAGATATGCCACGTCCACTATCCAGACTTATTTTTTTTTTTTATCAACAACTGTTAAGTCTTGGGAATGTTGGCAGGTGCTTGTCTGTATCATTATATTTTTTGGGTGAGGTAAGATGACTGGATGCCTACATCTGTTTCATTTCCTGCAGTAAATTACCAGGAAGTCCCACTCCAGAGTCATTTTGCAGGTAGCTGGAATTATGTAAAGCCCCGAACTGCATTCTGTGGGTATTTGAAACCTCTAAGACAGACATGTCAAACTCACGATGTCACATGACATCGCATGACGTATCTGAGCTTTTTTGCCGTTGCCGGCAATGGGGTGGGCGCGGCTCTGGTATGATGAAACCGGCCCGCGGGCCAGCAGTTTGACACCCCTGCTCTAAGAGGTTAATTCTATGGTTGCATTCCTCCCATCCTACCTTTCTGTTTGAGGCCTTTAAGCTGCCCTCGTGCACAATTCCTTCTCCTGCTAGATTACACCGACGTTCCTGGGAGAGAAATAACCACCGATACATTTGAAGCCATCAGCATTCTCCTTTAATTACATCAGAATACAGTAATGTAAAAATTATTTTTTTTAAAAAAAAATATTTACAAGTTAAATCAGACAATAGATAATTAAAAGCTACATGGTTGCAAAAATGTACAGTGTGGCCTTTCTGAGTATTCTGGCAATGCAAATAAAGCCCCTGGTTTTCTAAGCTGATAGTTCTCCGGAGCTGCTTAAAATCCAAACTCCTGTGAAAAGCCGCCGAGGTTTCCTCCCATGCCTGGAATCCCTCCCTGCCACATAATTAAGTATCCCTGCACACAACATTTTTTCCTCTAAAGTGCTTTACTTGACAACTGCCTGCTTTCAACAGGCTGCCACGTCCAGAAGGGTTAGGTACGCTCCCTGACCAGAACAGGTGGCCAAGGGCTCAGCTAACATGTCACGCAACACGTTCGTGAGAAGCAGCACGCGAACCGGCTCTTAGGACAACTTTGCATCATCTGGGACCTGGGGGTGCAGCCAGGCTGCTGCTCCGCAAAGGTCCCCCCTTGGAGCCCCCCTGGTGCCTTAGACAATCACAGTCTGAACTTCCAGCTCCTCCTCCTCTTCCTCTTCCTCGTGGGCTGCAATCACAAACTCTCCTGTGTGCTCCATTATTTCAATGTCTTCGGATGCCACCATGGTCACGGTGGCTTCCTCCACTTCCCCACTGCCCTCTGTGGCCAGCACAGCCCCTTCCCCAATTGCTGACGCCAGGGTCATGGCAACCTGCTCCGTGAGGCTCTCTGGAGTCGCTATGGCAATCGTGTCGGGGTCCACGCCGTCCGCTGTCATGGTTGAATCGTCTGCCACCGTGACATTCTGGACAATTATCTGATGGCCAGAATTGGCTTGGTTTACTATCTGCTGAACCACCTTCATTATGTGACTGTCCACCTGCACAGGGGAAAAACAAGTTAGTCTGTCTTCGTTTAGCCCATGCATCAGGACTCAACGCTTCAGATGGGGTTGCATCTTGCTACTTAGTGCAGTTTAACCGTAGTGTGGAGGAAAACTGGTCCAAACACAAGCTGTGGACAGCACGCGGTTCTAAGGCTGAACTTCTCGCAGTGCATGTCTGGTTCCCAGGACACCAGTCGATCAAAAGCCCTGCTTGTTCGACCCTAAAAATAGGAAAGCGGCCCCACCTCAATCCCAGCACCACATTCAACAGGAATGTAGCTGATCAACAAAGGATTAGTTATTTCTGTCAGGGTTCTTAAAATGAGTCCCCAGCCAAACTAGCAATTCTGAACTAGAGAACACTCACAATCTGGTTTATTAGGTTTGACTCACACTAAACCAGCTTTCTGAGCAAAAATAATTTCCTATTCCCTAAGATTATTAATTTTCCGAGACATCCCCAGAAAAAATCTGAAATACAGCGAATGAGATGAAATTCCATTTCTGAGAGCCAGGCAAATTAGAAAGGACTATCCAATTTGGGGATCAGAAATTTCAATCTTGAAATGTTGTTCTGTGTCTGCATTGTGTGAGATCCAGGATTGGGGGGAGGGGGCAAGTGATGAGATTAGCCACTTTGGGAACAACCATTCATCTTTCCTCTCTTGATTCCCTTTTAATCCTTCAACCCAGATTATTACATTTATTAAGACTTGAATTCTTAACGAACAAACAAACTCATCCCGGGAACAGACTTTAGTGGATCTCTTTCTGTCCAGTTATCATTATTTAAATTTATTGGCCATCCAGCTTCACTGGCTACTGAAATAAAGCAGGGCAGAAAGGGATTTCTCTGAGGAAAAGCGCTGGTGGATGGAGACATGATAGAGATGCTCCTTGCTGGAGTTACCAGGGCCAAATCCATCACGCGCTCTGCTTGCCTACACAGGTTCTGTTACTTGAGGATTTAGCACTTGGGGGAAGGACTCGCTCCTCGCAGGGCCGAAAATAGTTGTTGCTGTGATTGTCAGAAGCATCCTTAGAGCCACCCACCGCGTGCCTGCTTCCTTCGATGATCTCAGCAGCTTCGCTGGTTTCCATGTCTTCAGAAGCTGTCTTTAAGAAAGAATGCACAGCAACAATTTAGCCTCAACCATTCAAAGACCCTTCAGGACTGCAGCCCCCTCCTCAACAGCCACAGCCCACATCCCTTATACCAGTGGTTCTCCACCTGTGGGTCGGGACCCCATTTGGGGCTGAACGACCATTTCATGGGGGTCACCAAACAATGCAGTCCGCCATTTCCCCCCCCCTTTTCCTTAGCTGTGCTTACTCCCTTTTATTCTATTGGCTTTTGAAAGCCAATATAATAGACTCTCTTGAATAGAGTCTAATTCTATTGGCTTTCCAAAGCCAATAGGAATTGTCCAGGCTGTCTCTGCCCTGCTGAGCCCACCAAAAGTCCCATTCTGCAAACGGTGCTGCACCAGTTGACTAGTCCTCGACTTATGACCGGTTGAGTAGTCCTCGACTTACAACCGGTTGGGGGTCGCGGCATTAAAAAGGTTGAGAACCACTGCTTTATACACTTCCTAGTCTGTCCAGGAGCGTGCATGATGAGTCTCCATAGTTCTTGGCCCACATTAGGTCTCCAGGGCTGCGATATTACTCGCTTACAAAAGGCTCTGCCTTCCCCGGTGAGTCGCGCTTACCTCAATTATGTACTCCTGCGTATCTGCCACCACTGAGGAAAACTCCACCAGGACTGTAGGGGGGTCTTCCGAAATTACAGTTGCAGCCAACCGGTCAGCAGATTGGCCCTCCTCCGATCCCACTGCTTCTTCAGCTTCTTTCAAGGCGAGCAGGCAGCCGCCTGGGGAAGGTGGAGGAAAAGGCAGTTCGGCATCAATTAAAAGAAGGGCAGGAAGCATTTCCCTAATTAAAAGTTCAACATCCATATGCAGAAGAGCCGCTTACGCTAAATAACTGGACCTTTAAGTAATTCAATATAGGTAGTCTTCAACTTAGGATCAGAACACAGTCCAAAGTTTCCAAAAATAAGCAAGACAGTTAAGTGAGTTGTGCCCCATTTTACGGTCTTTTTTTGCCAGAGTTGTTAAGCCAGTGGTTCTCAACTTTTTTAATGCCGCGACCCCCAACTGGTCGTAAGTCGAGGACTACTCAACCGGTCGTAAGTCGAGGACTACTCCACTGGTGCAGCACCGTTTGCAGAATGGGACTTTTGGCGGGCTCAGCAGGGCAGAGACAGTCTGGACAATTCCTATTGGCTTTCGAAAGCCAATAGAACTAGACTCTATTCAAGAGCACAGCTAAGGAAAAGGGGGAAAAAATGGCGGACTGCGTTGTTTGGCGACCCCCGTGAAATGGTCGTTCGACCCCAAATGGGGTCCCGACCCACAGGTGGAGAACCACTGTGTTAAGCAATCACTGCAGCTAAGTGAATCATGCGGTTGTTAAGTGAGACTGGCTTCCCCCATTGACTCTGCTTGTTGGAAGCCAGCTGGGAAGGTTAGAGACAGCGTTCACATGTCTTTGGGAGAGAGCAACTGCCATAAATACATGCAATTGCCAAGCACCCACATTTTGATCACATGACCATGGGGATGCGGCAGCAGTGATAAGCCACCTTTTTTTTTAGTGCTGTTGTAACTTCGAATGGCCACTAAATGAATGGTTATGTCAAGGACTATCTGTGCTCAAGGCACACCACATGTATGGCATTGCTATTATGCAAATTAACTTTTTTCTTATTCTAAATGTTTTGTTGCGCATTAACATAGCGTAAGGCTCTAAATTTTTCAACCTCTTAAAAGCTTCTGTACTTACCTCCCACTGGGACTAACAAAGCTTCAAATGCTTTAGAACATGAGCTCTGTTAGGTGTCAGAATCCAATTATATTTCATTTCTATCTACCTCCTCTGATGAAAAACCAATTCTTGCTCTATGCTGGATTCTGTCATACTGCAGAGGGGGAGGAGGGAAAGCATGGGGGCTTTATGACTCTCACTTCCTTAACTACAAAGTGACTGTTTGTGGATTTACATGGAGAGAATTAACCATAACAATGTGGCCATCGCCTTTCATCTCACTCCCCTTTGCCGGCAGTGAGGAAAAGGGGGTGGGAAATACAACAAGCCTGGGATCTGGGAAAAGATGAGTGATCGACTGAATTGCCCAGAAGAACTGTGGGGTGGGGGCTAATTGGGAATACTTTAAAACCGAGGTGACGCAGCAGTTAGAGTGCAGGACTGCAGGCCACTTTAGCTGACTGTGTTGAGCAGGTCAGCGGTTCAAATCTCACCGGCTCAAGGTTGACTCAGCCTTCCATCCTTCCGGGGTAGGTAAAATGAGGACCCAGATTGTTGGGGGCAATGTCAATATATATATACATTGCTTACTGGTGTACACCGCTTAGAGAGTGCTTGCACTTAAAGCGGTATAGAAGTCTCATAAATAAATAATAAATAAATAAATGGTGGGAGAGGATTCCCCAGATCCTGTCTAGCATGCCTACAATCAACTTCTCTTAATAAAGATCCCTGCTTCTCTACTGGAAGCCAGGACAGAGGGAGGCGCACACACCTGTCCTCGAGACAAACTATCCTCCGCTCACCTTTGGTCCTCAGGTGCCGATTGAGGGTGCCGTGCTCTGCGAACCCACGGCCACATTTGTAACATTTGAATGGCTTCTCGCCCGTGTGGTGACGGATGTGGCGCACCAGAGAACCCTTTTCCCGAAAGCCTTGATTGCAGAACTGGCAGACATACGGCTTTTCATCCAGGTGCGTTCGGAAATGAACCTGCTGTGCGTTCTGTGGGAAAGAGGACAGGAGAGTCAGCTTGAGTTCCGGAACTGCAGGTTTTCCAAAATTGGTTTTTCAAAACTGATATACTCCCTTCCAAACCTCCCCACAATATAAAGGCAATTCAGTTTAAACCTCCTATCTTTCATGAGCAAATGTAAATAATCTTGCTGGAACAGGTACCACCGAGCACCATTTTGGTTTTGATGGATAGATGGATGGATGGATGCAGACAGACTGATAGGTATGTCTAAAAAACCCCAAGCATCATGAAATAGCCATAATTTTCTTACTGGTTGACCAACCTCCCACCCCCACCCCAGAAAGGAGTATAGTCAAAAAAAGTCACCTTTTTAATGAGATTTAAATGAGATTCCCACTT